GTCCCCCCCCACAGTGATTCCTCAGATTTGCTGCTGTTTCCCTTTCATTGACGCGTCTTTGTTTAAGTGATAAAAGAAGGAGTGCGGGCCCAGAGGTGGACGTCACGTCACAACCGCCGGTCCTTCGTCACCATCGAAACGTTAGCGTTCATTTTTCGTTCGACGAACGGAAGAACGCAGCCTCAATTTTCGGTGGATTTTTTGCATGACTTTGAATCGGTACCCAGCCGACGGGAGGGCAACGGTTCCCGTCCCGTCCCGGTCCCTCAGCGTGAGTACAGGCTGCTCCACCGGATGGCGCTGATCGCTGTGGCCTGACTGTGGAAAAACCGGACATAAATCTATGGCCGCCGCCTTCCTACAAGTCGCCCCCCCCCATGTATCCAAGCCGGGGAAGGACTCGGGAACCCATGGGGGAGGGAGTCGGTGGTGAGGGGTGAGGGTGTTGGGAATAAGGAAAGTGATATGAGAGTCGGCCCAGGCAGCAGTTAGCCACAGATCAGCCCTGGGGGACAGCTAATCGATGAGGCTGTCGTCCGGCCTCATCATCCAGCCAGTACTGGCCCAATTTCCCCCTGATGAGCTGGAGGCCACAGTCTGGGAGGGTTGGAGAAGCGCGAACAGGACGGGTGACAGTGCAGACGAAGGTCACTGCTGATGTAGGGTGAAGGAGGAGGAGGAGGAGGAGGAGGAGGAGGAGGAGGAGGAGGCTCCTAACTGGAGCTTCCGCGAGCGGAAACTGACACCAATTGGATCCAGCAGAGCTGAGCTCAACCACTGGTGCCTTGTGTGTCATAAGTTGGTCTTGTTAGACAGGGGCCTAATAGGCAATAAGGGACACAGTTGTCACTTTGTGTATGATTGGTGGTGAGGACTCGGGGATCCTGGGCAGGCGTCGTACCACAGGCACACATTCCAACTACATAATCCCGCAGTGTGGAGAAAAAACACAATTTAAAGTCGAAATGACAAATGTTATAAATAAAATAGATGTCACTTCCTCTCCAGAGGAGGAGGCACCTTTTTTTTTTTTTTTTTTTTTTCCTCCCCGTCGCTACACAATAGGAGCCGAAGTGCAGAGCGCCTCCTGTTAGGGTTCCTGTGTTCTCCAGGCCCTCGTTAGAACCCAACCAAGAGTGGAGTCGGTTTAATTAGTGGCCGTCGGAGGCGGAGCTCCGCAACATCAAAGGACGAGGGAACTCTTATTGTTAGACTCAACAACACGGCCAACTCTCACCCGTTCTCAAAAACATACTCAGATACTGTGGACTTTGAATTCCCCAAAAAAAGGATGAGGTTTTTTTTGTTTTTTTTTAACACTTTTAACACGACATCAAATCTTTTCTTGTCGGTCACGTTTTCTGATTCAAGAAAAAAACATTTTTTTGAAGTCTACATCCTGTGGAGTGTAATGGTGTAAAAGCGATGCAGTCGACTCACGATACGATTCACAACAGTTTTTTTTTCAACTGACACGGTCTGTGAACCTCATCAACTGACATCGTTCTCTTCAATAACAAAAGAGAAAAAAAAAGTCCCATTTCTGTCCAGAAACTCTGGGACATCTGGAGCATTGATCTGCTCTGGTCAAACTGGTCTGGTTAAACTGGTCTGGTTAAACTGGTTAACTGTCCATATGTGAAACAACCACAGAAGAAGAAGAAGAAACAGGAAGTGGAAAGAGTTCCACTGGAGAACTTTGTTGGTGTCTGTGGAACACGTTCTTCCCACGTTCTGTTCCAACACCTGAACGTCTCTCAGCCTATGTAGGACCTGACAACCAACGTTTTTAGGAGCATACTGCCACCTACTGGACTAGAGTGTGTAGTGTCATGGTCTGACCAGTGATTTTTTCAGATAACACAGTCAACTCCTTACACCTCGATAAACGATTCATTTTTTTTATATTTCAACCAATGAGAATTGTCACAGATTTATATCGATTTTCCACCGATTCTCGATGAGTCGTTACATCGATCTTTGATCCCACGGAACTCTAACAACTACAGCAACAAACTACGTATCATTTTAGGATGTTTGTTTAAACCTTGAGCTCAGACGTGTAAAGACAACAGTAGACAGTCGTCCATAAACACGATCATCCTCAAAGGCATCGTTTGACCACAAACGACAGACACCCAACAAAATAAATCAAAACTTTTCTTTCTTCTTCTTCAAAATTACGCAAGAAATTACACATTACAATCTCAGAAGTGAAGCTCCTCCTGGGCTCGTCCCCGCGCTGCTGCTGCTGCTGCTGCTGCTGCTGATTACCCTGCAGCAATCTGCCAGAGAAGATTTACAAGGCAGCGTTACAATTAAGCGTCCGTGTCACTGGGCCAAGTGTTCTGAACCCGTCCGCGTCCCAACCCTGATTGGATTCTGTGCGGCTGAGGCCGTTTCCTCCCTTTGACAATCTTCCCGTTTCTTCATTTGAGTGGAAAGTGAATACTCTAGTTAACACGAGCCCCGGAGGCGAATAGCTGCCATTGCAATACATCTTTTAAGAGTGCGCCTGTGGAAGCCATTCTTCCTCTTCCTCCTACAACAATAGGTCCCCGAGGACTCATTAGTAACAGTCACCTCTAAGTAAAGGAAGGAAGACGGAGGGAAGTAAGTGATGGCAGCCCAGGTGGAGCGGAACACCACGGCAGCCAGAACCTGGCCGACGATAAAGTCACATGAGCGCACGTAGCAGCGGTGATCAGAGAAGTTCAAGAACGGAAACAAAACATCGTAAAAATGTGACGCACGCAAAGTTTCCAGTCTGTAGAATAACTAAATCTTAGACTCCAGTGATGTCATCTTTCCTCGTCTGCTGAAAGACGCTCGTTTGGAACAATGTTGCTCTTTGAAATATATCTGAAATATATTTCAAATATATTTCAAATATATTTCAAATATATTTTAAATGTATTTTTCTTCCAATCATTAATGTAACTTTTGAAAAGACCGTGTTAGGGGTTTTTTTTCCCTATCACACAACAACCGCTGGACCTGGTAACAGGCGCCCCCTAGGGTCTGAGTCCTGACTTTGATGAAATCTCATTGGACAAAATCAGCGACGACATTTGTAAAAACGTCCACAGCCGTAGATTCTTCCCGCCAGTTTCTCTGAAACAGTTGCTGTTCTCCACGTTGACCTTAGCGACAATATGTTCGTCAGCAGCTAAATATATATTTGTTTTATTAAAAACAATAAATATAATTTAATTAAAAATATGTATTTATCCCAGAGGGGCAATTAGAGAAATATGAAGTGTCTGAAGCTGTGTCCACAGTGGGGGGTGGG